AGTTTGATACACATTTTAAATATCTTAAATTTTTTGCATTGTCGAAATTGGCTCATGTCAAATTTATCGATAGGAAAAAAAATAATTGACACAAGATTTGGATATCATTCTTTTTCATCAGGTAAGTCCATTCAACAATAGTATTTGTTGATATCATTGTTGTCAACAATGTTATTTTATATTATTTAGGTTCTGAGCTTATCGAATATATAATGCATTCGGTGATTGATTTGGTTTTTAAATTTATTGAAAATAAATTGGTTAACCCTGAAAATTTGCAAGATGACGCATATAACACAGATGATGATCTCCTTATTGGTGAAAGCTAATACATACTTGATACATTAGTCAGTAACGTACAAGGTTAAATATGACTTTGAGAATAATGAAGATTGCATTCTGGAGGAGTCAGAAGGATTTGAATGGCTTAGAAATTAGTAAGTTCAAATGTGTGATATGTGCTATTGTGAATGAGATCATTTATATGAAATCTGCTTGTAAGAAGTTTTCAATACAACAAATTCGTTTTAAGCATATTTATAATGGCAATTGCAACAATTGCATTTGCAAAACAAGATAAAAAAGCTATTTACAAGAAAAAAAAGAATAAACCAATATATTTCACGTCATTTTATAAATTTCTTTAGAATTGTTGACAAAATATAGCCACTATAGATTTGTGATGATAAAAAATACATCACCCTCTAAACAAGTAAAGATTGCAAAAAAATTAATATCATATATTATGTACATACAATCAACTACATAATTAACCATGATACAAGTCTTCGGCAGGTAAATTCTCATCTTTACCATCTAAGGTATAAGCATTCATAACAATATTATGAGAAACTCAGTTTTCTTGGAAACTCTTAATTGCTTCTTCAACGTTACCAGACATATCATCGTCCTCAACCAGCTATAAAACTTTTTTAACATTAGCTTTGACAGCAACAGCATCATTTTTGATACTAACTGACTTGCTAAAAATTTCTGGAGGTGAAGTAGAAACAATGATAAATCTTGTGCAGCCTTTTCCAATAATTGTCAAATTTTTACAATTTTTTTTAATATTAGCAACAGTTAGATCAATTTCTAAGTCAGAATTTTGATGAAATTTGGGCAATCCATAGTTTTTTGCTCGAATATCATCATTGTAGTTTTTA